GATAACTGCTGTGCTCACTAATTCGTACCCTTGTGTGAAGTGATGAGGCGAGAGCCGAGCATCAAGTCTGCACGTACCACTTTGGACAATGACTTTTAAGGCCGTTGCTTTCCTGTGGTTTGATTTCAGGGAGATGAAGATCTGCTGACAGTGTACATAGGAGAGATCTTTCTGGAGTTTGTCAACATGCTGCCCGCCTTTCAGACCTACTGTCTGCAGCAGTCCACCTCAGTCAACATGCTGAATACACTGGAGAAAGAAAAAGAGCTGCTAAGGTACACACAAAGTACTGGACTGGTCTTCCTGTGGCTCTGTGCGATGGCAAAATTGCTGTGGGAGCTTTCTCTTGTTCCTGCCACGGCTGTGCTGTGTAATTCTTAATGGAAAGGACAGCGAGTTATCACTTATTCAGAAGATGTTCTATTTCAAGAGCAGAGCTGCAATGATTCATATTTTTAGACAGAGCTGCAGCTCACCCATGACTCAGGCTGTCTTATGATTCCATTAATCAAGTTTTTAAGAGTTTCCCCAAAGACATATACAGACTGTAAGAATGTCTCATCGTCCTCTTCTCTCACTTCTCTCTTCAGAATCTTCCTGGATGTTTCTCAGAATGACAACACAGCCCTGCGTCGTATGAACCTGCGCTCCTTCCTCATGGCGCCCCTCCAGCGCGTGACCAAGTACCCGCTTTTGTTGAGCCGCATCATTAAGGTCACTCCCGAGTGCCACCCCGACTACGCGCGTCTCCGCGAAGCCAAGAGTCGGGTCGAGTCCCACCTGGAGCACATCAACATGAAGACCAAGCAGGAGGGCAACGGGGTCACCTGGTCGCTGCGCTCGTTCCGCCGCGACAGCCGCAAGAACCGGGAGGTCATCAACATCGAGATGCGAGAGGTGTCGATGAAGACGGTGGGGTGGGCGAGGGAAAACACGCGATTTGTCATGGAGGGGCCGCTCCAGCTGTCCCAGCCGGCGGACGGTCAGTGGGTGAAGAAGGGCAGCAAGGCTCTCAAGTTCCAGAACGTCCAGAGCCTGCTGATGGTGAGGACGCAGCGGGCGGTTGAGGGACTGTGCGCCGACCTGGTGGCTCGGGGGGATCAGATGGAAAGCGGCGGAGAGAGCATTCGGGACGGAGTGCTGGTTCTGATCAAGGACAAGAGCAGCGGGAAGTTCACAGTGCTGAGAGAGCCCATCCGACTGGGGAACTGCGTGGTGTCGACCGATCCGGACTGCGAGGACACGTTCGAGGTGCTTGACATCCGGCGGGAGTCGTTCGTTTTCCGCGCCTCGGACAAATCTCGCACCCAGCAGTGGTTCCACCAGATTAAGAGGTACGCTCGGGACTTGGGCACCTGGAGGAAAAGACGTAACGCTTTGCCCAACATCATGATCAACACGAACCAAACGCGGTCCTGAGACTAACCACCACTCACCTTTGTTACACTGTAAATAACCTCCTACTGCAAAAATCAGCCGACGACAGGAAGCCGAGTGACTCCGCTGTCATAACTCGTTAGAATTCAATAACAACAAATAAAAAGGGAAGAGAAAACAAATCTCAGACTCTCATGAGGGCAAGAAAACGACGAAGCACTTTGTTTTTGTTACGAAGCTGTAAGTGCGCCATACTGTCATAAAATATTATGTATGTAGATTTAATTTGAAACTGTTACATTGCAAGAGCGAAGTCAGATTCTTGGACGACCAAATGAAAAACAAAGAAAGAAACTTGGGTCGATGTCGTCGGCCTTGATTGTAAAGACCGTTTGCTCTCGGAGAAGCAGAGCCGTGTTTTTCAGTAACGTGTGTCTGTCGAACAGCATGACCGAACATGACCGACTGCAACGGGAAAAATTGTAACATCTTTGTTTATTTTTAGTTCCTTTTCTTTTTTTAATACAACACAGTGTGATGTAAGAACATTTCTCAAGGCAGAAATGTCGTCCACATCTTTTTGTTCGGTGGTTTTCGTTTGTCGTCACTGCCCTATTGTGTCCGTGTGCCGCCCTCTACTGTACATTGGCGGTAGGGCAATCTTCCACTGCCAGATAAGCAGTGGAGCAGAGCCTTTCAAAACGGGCTGTACAGACCTCCCGCGTCACCGTAACAGCAATAATCTCTGCCAGTTTCAAAGTAAGTAGCTACTGTATATGCATTTTGTTTTCCTGAGGTTTTCCTTTTGCCGTTCAGGTGTTAATCCTGCTTTACTGTGTCGTTTGGGTTTTATGTGGCACATTTAACTGGAGTCTGATTGGTCGGTGGGCACGACTAAAGCTTTCCCTAACGCTAAGGACGCCTCTGTTACGGTCATTAGATTTAAGTGCCATGAAAGCAGTTTGTGAAGAGTCTCGTCAGTCCTCTTTCTTGAAACATCCTGTCAAACCGGGTGACGTCAAACACTACCTGTGTGTTAAGTGCAGAGTTTTTCCAACCTCGGCTGCAGGACCTCATGTGGAGA